ACCCTGATGATTCACCATCAGATAATCCGCCCGCTCGTTATCCTACCACATAAAAAAAGTTTGGTCGCGGGGTAAGTGCAATGAGGCACCGCGACCTCGGCCCGGAGCAGGAGAAGGAACAGGGGGGTTTTAGTCAGTAAGAGTCTGACACTCCCTCCCGCCCGGCCCTGGCCTGGAGAAGTGATTTGATGATTTTCCCCTCACAAAAAAAAGGTTTTGAATTACGTTAAATTTAAAAACAGAATCAAGTAGAACTGTCATTTTAATTTTAATCACATAATGTTGCCAACCTCAAAAATCTTATGACACGAACCAAACAGAAAACAGCCGAACCAAAATTAATTTGCTTTTAGGGAGTAACATAAATAATTGTAACACTTGTATTAATACAGAATGTTTTTGTATCGCTTTCGTGTACAACGTAACAACGACTTTATACGAATTAATGCACATCCATTCATTGTTTAAAATTGGAATAAACGGATGAAGTTTTAATTTTTTTGTTTTACAATTTTTTTTGTATTTTTCTGATGCATTTTCATTTAATTTCGTAATTTGTATATAAAAAGTTTCTATTTGTTTTATGAAAACTTGGTTTTATATTACTTTTTTGCTCTCTTTGTTAATTTAAGGCACTTTTATATTATGTTTATAATACGTACTTGGAAATGGTTATTTTTGTAGAGTGCAACTACTTTATTTGGTTTTCATTTAATGGGAATATGATTGTATTTTATTATGAACGCGAGATCAATTTATTTTGTTCGTTATGTAAATTGGTTTCGTGTTGTAATTGCTCGAAGGTTGAAGCCTCCTTCTCATGCATGACGATGAAGGTTCGAAGCCTGGCAAGTACCAATATGAATTTTTCTGACTTTCTAGTCTTGTTTCGAGGAAAACATCATGAGGAATTCTGGTCTTATAATTTCTAATTATAAGCTTAAAATCGACAAACCTTTTCCTTATGAGAAGAGGCCTTTGCTCTAGCAGGCTCTTATCTATGCTGATGAATTGCTCCACATAACTTTACGTAATTCCTCTCATAGCCTCCTTTCATAGTATACCTCTCATAGGTGCATCTTACCTTGAAGGTATAGAACCACCTTAATCTACTCCTTCATTAAAAGGTGGCAGTTATGTGAGATTCGACTGAATGAAGGGCTGAATTTTCAATAGCCAGATAAATGTTATCTGAGGAATAAAATTGTTGCTGTCACTGTCTTACACAAACATTCTGACGCGACAGCATCATAATTGTTCCCTTTTTTTTTTTGTGAGGGGAAAATCATCAAATGACTTCTCCCGCCCAGGGCCGGGCAGGAGGGAGTGTCAGACTCTTACTGACTAAAAACCCCCCTGTTCCTTCTCCTGCTCTGTGCCGAGGTCGCGATACCTCATTGCGCTTACCCCGCAACCCCAGCTGAACATCAGCCCTTTAGGGCCCCGTCTGTGGTGGTCGAATGGCTCTTTGAGGCGCGCGCGGAACGCTACGCGCCGTACGCTCGGGCCTGGTTCTGGTCGGGCGGCGAGCTGCCCTTACTCGCCGACCGCAGGCCCGTGCTTACGGTGGCCGGAGATCGTCCCTCGATCCCCGACGCCCGTAGTGTCGCCAGTTGCGGCTGCTGGGGCGTGAGGAGGAGGCCCTCACGCGGGCCGCCTCTCTCTTTGCGAGCATGACTGCTTCACAAAAGGAGGAGACGGCGTCCCAGTTCCTCTCACTCCGCACCATGGCCTCGACTAAGGCCGGGCGCGAGAGGTTGCCGCCGCCGATCACTTCCCTGAGGATACGGCGGTGCTCAGCCCAGGCAGGGCATACCGCTACCGTATGCTCCACCGTATCCTCTAGGTGGTCCTCACAATGACGACACTCGGGCGTTTCCTCCCGCTGAATCCGAAACAGGAACCTACCGAAGCTGCCGTGCCCGGTAAGCACCTGCGTCAGACGGAAGGAGAGGACGCCGTGGCGTCTCTTAAGCCACTCCTCAAAGAGGGGTCTAACCGCTGCTATGGTAGCGTGCCCGATAATTGTTCCCTTAGTAACTTTTATCTAACCATTGAAAAACCAGCCCTAAGTCGAATATAATTTAAACGTTAACGTTACGTAATGTATAAGAACCTTTAATTATTGGAACCAAACCTTAATTAAACGCGTTTGTTCCAAACATAAGCCGTTTTATACAAATTAACCGATTCAGTTGTGTTTGAGGTTTGGCACGAGTATAAGCGGTAGCGATGTTGCTGTTTTTTTTTTGACACTGACCTTTTTTTGGTCAACCTGCAAAACGTGTTTTTTTTATGTAATAGATCGGCAAACGAGCAGACGGATTACCTGATGGTAAGCAGTCAGCGCCGCCCATGGACACTCGCAACGGAGGAGTTACGAGTGCGTTGCCGACCTTTTAGTAGGGGTTAGGGATTTGGAGATTTAGGCATTGAGGAGGGATTGGGGGAGGGGAAGGATTGGGCCTCCGGTGTCTAGCTTTTTAGGGCGAAGGACTAAGAAGTGTGGCATTCAAAAACCTGGAGCCTCAGCACCTGTTAAAGACATATGCTCTCTCATAGAGCTGGTCCGGAGCCCTTACGGTACAACCTCTGTTACGGCATCCCTAGGGAATCTAGCCTCTCCCTCAAGGCTCGTTTTATAAGGTGGCACATGACATCTGTGATACCGTCTATCCTGAGGTCACTGGGTGAGCACCTATCAGACATATCTACGCGACCATGGCCTCAATGTCAATGTCACTTAACTTGGACTTGGATTTAACTTCTTTGGCGAATATTATTATCAATTTGGCCGACTTCCATTTTTGTGGTTAATTTCTAAAATCAGGTGTAAATAAGGCAGAGTTCGCGATAAAGGACTTTTCGATTTTAGTCTACAAAAGGCCAGCAAACACTTTTCTGGTGGTGCCAAAACAGGCTCTTAGCTATTCCTTTGCCGACCTAACCTATATATTTATAGATAGTCGTATTGTCAAAATCATCAAAGTAAGACAAGATCACACGCTTCGATGCAGAGACTGAGAACGTTAGTAAGATTGACAAAATAAATTACCTACAATCACAATGAAGTCTATAGTTCAATTTTTATGACTTCCTGATGTGACAGAAACCTTCAAATGGCGCCTTACTTCTTGATGAGAAAGGCTAGGAATTGTAGGATTCTCAAATCTCTAAAATCACCCCTGTGGCCACTATCACCAGCTTCAGCACGAATGGGTCGACTCCACCTGAGTGATACCACGGCCTCACAGAAAACCGGCGTGAAACAACCACAGCGTTGTGTTTCGCCGTGTGAGTTAGGTTACCGGAGGCCCAATCCTTCCCCTCCCCCAATTCCTCACCAATCCCTAAATCTACAAAATCCTAATCCCTAAAAGGTCGGCGACGCACTCGTAACTCCTCCGCTGCGGGTGTCCATGGGCGGCGTGACTGCTTACCATCAGGTAATCCGTCTGCTCGTTTGCCGACTTATTACCTTAAAAAAAACAAAAACATTGGACCCCAGGTCCCCTACATTCTATAGGTAGTACAGTTACTAGTCTCCCGCTATCACTAGCACCACGCCTCACCTCCTTAGGGCTTCTTTGCCTTACCTTAATATCGCCTCCTAACACAACCCTTCCATTAAGAAGCTCATTACCAACGCATTAGTTCCAATCATTAAACCCGCTATTCAAATAGGAACCTAATTACTGGAGTCACATGATTTATTTCCTAATATCAAAAGCTTTGACAGATGTAAGTTGATTGATTGACTTGGAATATTATTACTGCTCTATAGTATTTGGAAATTATGTTCATGTGTGTGTTACTGCATTGTGTAGGATAAAAAAATCGTTTAAATGTATTTCAGATTTCTTCAGTACGTGGGGAGCTCCTGATTGAGAACTTCTGGTCTCTTGTGGTCCTCCGTCAATGTGGCTGAAGATACCGAACTGAGTCTATCGCTCTCTCTCGTTCGTGCAGCGCTCTCCTTTGCAGAACGCGACAACAAGCGTAACGGGACAATGACGTCATCTTTTTCGTGCATGTATCTAGTTCATAGACATTGTCACGTCAAAAATTGGTTCAAGGAAAGTCGAACATGAACACGTGTGCTAAAAATGTTTAAGCTATAAAATGGTTTTTTCCTCCCGAAACGAAATCTAGACTATTTTTATTTCGCAATGACATAATAAATAAAAAACATTTCACTATTTATTTTCTGCGAATGGTAAACAAACTAACAATAGCCAATCAAGGCAGTCGGTATCAAAATAAGCCATATTTTCTCCTTGATGCCGACAATACCATGCATCATTATTCTGCTCACGTAGCACCACACATCCACCACATCTTGGTCTTCCCCTCTCCTCTCCCTAACCAGGAACTAGGAAGATGAATAGGAACACGTACTAAAGGTCAGAGGTCAATTTACACTGGATATTAGTAACAAGGTTTGACGTAAATCATTTAGTTTGTTATAACAGAGTATTTAGCGCTGTGCTAGTTCTTATTTTTGCTACGCGATACGTGTACTTGGTTATAATTACGTATTATTAGGCTCAGAAAGGATTTTTTGGAAGAAATTGAGTGGTCTGTTACAGTAAGTTATAGTGCAAGTTATTTGAAATTTGACCTCATTCCAACGTGTATTACATGGAATAGTTGAATTAATGAAGTATTCAAAAATACCCTCTATCCCTTATCGACACGTTAAAGATACTTATTTTTATTAAAAAGTTATTATCGTGAGAAATACCACATTTATAGGAAATATCAACAGTTGGGAACTGACTAGTTTATAGCAATCTGTTAACGACACGTTCCGCATGCACGCTACTCCTGAAAAAGAGTCCGGTGTGACTTGAAACTAAACGAAATCAACTCAATTAAATCACGTGAGTAATTTCGTCGTAGTCATTATTTTCAATAAATAAAAAATCCCTCGTGATATATGGTTCAAGAAATGAATAAAAAACACAAAAAGATAAATAAAACAATTTTATTACAAACAAAAGCTTTTAAAACTAACAATCATCTACTAAGCTTACGTTCTAACCGAGTCAAGAACTGCTTGATCGTATCCAATTCCATGGACACTCTATCTATCTTGCTATTCAGTTCTTCCATCGCGCACTTTGATTCCTCAACATACTCCTGATTCTGCGTCTTCATCTCTACAACTGCATCATCAAGGTCATGCAGATGATGTGCTACTTCATCGAATTTGACCCTGGCTTTAGTGTCTGATGGTAACTTCAGTATATCAGGTTTTTCTTTCTCTTCATTCTTTTTGTTCAGAGCCATGATAGCATCATGCATTTCACTTAGTTTCGTTTTAAACGTTTGCAGACCTAATTCGTCTTCAATCTGTTTCTGTTGTGCTTGAGCTTTGGTGAAAATTGCATCTTTTATTCTTGATGGAAGTGTCCTTGAGTGCTTCCATCTTGGTTTCCCTGGCTTTAGAATCATCACGCACAAAACATTACGCTTATTCTTCAAGCTGTTGTTCACTCGTTTTGGTAAAATCGCACTGAATAATCTATTGTAGACTAAGGTATCTAGTGTTCCTAAGAACTCTACTTGTTTTACTAACCTTCTAATATTACCTAGTACTTCTAAATCATTGATGTCGTTGACGGCAACACCTACCAGCAAATTCATAAGTACTATAGCTGCTAAAATAAGAAAGATGAGGAAGATGATTCTGACTATAATGAGGGAAGTGGCTAGTTCTTTAGAGTGCTCCTCGTCGAATAGGGCTCCGTAGTCGAATTCTGATGTCATCATGACGATTGTCTTGACGAGCGCTGCCCAGGGTCCATCGAAAGGTATTTGGGAGCGGAACTGTATCATGAAACTGAGAGAGAACCCAACTACCAGGAACATGAAGGTTAAAAGGATCTGTAAAAAAGGATAAACATGTTAAGATGATATTGATTGTTTTATTTTTCGTGGTAAGTGAATTAGAGTTTAGTTTCCATAATTTATATTCGGAACGCAGTTCTGCAAATTATAAGACAATTCTGTATTTAAAACATAATTTCAAGCCTTCAAGACTAACATTAGCTTTACAAACAATACCATTTATCATAATACGTTACTTAATAAAACCATTTCCATCCTTACCTTCACAACATTAGAGGCGACTTTTCCAAACATTAGCACATAGTAACCCCAATTTGGAAACCGGGACAGCAGAAACATCATTTCCAACCAGGACAGAAGCAAGGCTACTGTAGCCACATGACGAGGCCATTCGTCATCATTCAAGTTGACCACTACTATTGTATAGGGAAGTATCACTGCGAAACCTAAAGACCCGAACTTGACCCAAGTTTCCAACTGCAGGAAATATCTGCTGCTTTTGACGTTCATGTAGAGAAGTTCCTGTGAACAAAAAACGGTTTTGTTCAAGATTAATTTTGTTGACTGCAATATGTGGAGGTGGGTGCAAAGCTATTTAATGGTATATCAAGCCGTCAGTATTCTCAGTCATTTTGGCATCTTAAAAATGATGATAATGAAGAAAAAGCTTCAATTACTCTTATGATAGTAATTTAACAATGTGGGTATATCAGACTGCTGTATCAATCCAGTCAAGAGCAAACTGTTTTTCGTTTCCGCCTAAATATTAGTTATGCAATGTGCATATAGTATAATAACAAGCTCAATTCTATACTTGAGAATCGCGCAAATGTAAACCCGTGGATCACAATTTAAAAACGTAATACAATAAGCTTAAAGAGGCTCGCACTCAAGACCTCGCTCGAGAGTCACACTTGTGACGATACACGTAATGCGAAGAGCGTATCTTCTGAAAACAATGCTTCATAACAAGGTTCTTCCCTAAAAAGAAAATTTACCGAATTTTACCAGGTGTGAGAAAAACGTTGTTACTATAGAAGGCATTATCTAAATTAAATCTAACGCCAACAAACTTTATACTGGATTTTAAAGCTTCCATATATTCTCTTTTTATCTATAAGGAAAGTTTGGATTACGATGTTCATGAACTCACGACCTAGGCGTAAACGATTTATACATATAAAGTGTGTTTAATATGCACAGTAAAGTTGTCTACATCTGTCTTAGTATCCTAAGATGCTTGTAAGGTGATAAAAAGTAAAAAAAAACTAACCTGAATTAATATCATGGCTATAGTAGCATAAACGATGTAACTCCAGATCACCGGGTCCAACCACTGAGGCCGTTTCTCATGAGTATCCCTAAACAAAAATACTGATACCACAAACACTGTCAAAGACAGCAAGAAAATTGCGTATAAACCTATGATTGTGTAGAAAAATGGCAATAACGCTTTCCATTTCAAAAATAGAAAACTTTCTACCAACGGATGGACCAATAGACGTCTCTGGCCGTTTCTGTTCCCAGTCTTCAGTAAAGCTTCGATGACCTTCATTTGTTCCATCTCACAAACAGTCGGCATCAAAATTCCATAATCAACAGTCACTTCGCAATTATGATCCTGCAAATCCGTGCCATTACTTGAAATGTACGAATCAAATACGTCTTCCATAAACTCTGTTGGTTTCGACAAATTGTTTATAATCATGTCTATAGCTGTTCTTCTGTATTTCTTTGGTCCATCTGTATATCCTGACAAGTCTGCCCCTTCGCGAAGTAGAATTGTTATTACATCTCTGCTGCCATGATGACTAGCTGCGTGTAGAGGAAACCAGCCCATACTATTGACTTCATGTACAGTCGTTTTATCAAAGTTGAGTATAATTTTAGCTATATCTAAGTGATTTTTGACAGCAGCCAAATGTAATGGAGTTGAAGATTTGTGCGGATTGCTAGTTGTTCTAAGTCTTATATCAGCGCCTTTGGACAAAAGTAACTCTACACACTCAACGTGGTTGTTGAAAACAGCGAAATGTATCGGGCCAAATCCTCTTCTGTCTCCCGCTGTTAAAGTATTTATCAATGCATCTGTTACTGTTTCATTAAACTCTAGAAGTACTCTTAGTACTTCAACGTGTCCATAATCGGCTGCTACGTGCAAAATATTAACGTCTCCTGGTAAAGTTATTTTTAAATTAGCACCTTCGTTTAAAATTTGTTTTACACAATTGACATGGCCGTTGATTATAGCTTTGTATATAGGAGTTTCTCCTTCTTCATTTTGATAGTCGATTGCGTCTCTCTGTTTAGCTATACTGAGTATTTCGTTAAGTACATCTAAGTTGCCTAGTGCAGCGGCTGAATGTATTGGTGTTTCTCCGTCGTTAGCCTGAAATGTAAAGTTGCATTATAAATAGGATGTGAAATTATTTTTAAAGATTAAGAGTTAGATAATCACGATAATTCAATCGAAATCAGTCGTGGTGGCCCGGAGGTTAAGGAGCCCGCTTTGACAAAACGACTGTACATGAAGGTGTGGGTTCGAAACCTGGCAAGTACCAATGTGACTTTTTCCAAGTTATATGTACTTTCTATGATTATTTAGACACCACTGACATACGGTGAAGGTAAACATCGTGAGGAAACCTGGACTCATAATTTCTAATTATAAGTTTGAAATCGCCAACCCGCATTGAAAAAGCGTGGTGATAAATGCTCTAACCTTCTCCGTATGAGAAGAGGCCTTTGCTCAGCAGTGGGCACTTATAGGCTGATGATGAATCACGATAAAATTAAAGTAAAATATTACGCAATTACTGTCATAACGGGAAAAAAGTCAACCTCCAGCTACTTTATATACTTTCCAATTTAATCATAATCATAAACATTATTATTAACCAAACCAAACTCTGAAATAGAAACTCAAAAGTTTCGAAATCCCTTAAATGCAATCGTTCAAATTACTATGGGTCAAAGTAAAAATAAGTCGAAAGTCAAATCATTAATTTAAAATAGCACTACTATATGCAGTTTTGAACGTCAAACAAAAAAAAAACACAAATCGTTTAACTTTGTATATGTCACTCTGTCGGTCTGTCCTCTAGTGAAGCTAATCGGTCGTTCCAAAGTGTAGATTCCTATGAAAAAAAACTAGCATACTCCATGGTTACTCTTTTTTGAACAGTTTCACAATTCGGTTTCTTATGTATTATATCTCTTTCATCACAATGTACCTTAGATGTGACATCAGCTCCTGCTTCCAACGCGATGCAGACTCCTGGCACCCAGGCAGCCTCTACAGCCGCTTGCAGCACTGAGTGGCCTTCTTTGTCCTTCACATCTACTATAGCTAGCAATGGATTTGCGTTCATATAGTCGTAATTTGCTAAAAGCTGTAAAAAAGTTAGAAGTTTAATAAAAATAAACTTGACAATTCAATTTTATTGTTCATTGGTAAAAATATTAATGACTTGAAAAAATAGGTAAATGCAATTTTATTTTTCATATTCATATGAAAGCTATTAAGTTTTAATCATAATGTCAACTCTAGTATTGTACTCAAAATAAGTTATAGTATAGCCATGATTACCCATTTCCATTGCATACAAATCGTTTCTAAAAAATTATATCTTTATAATATGTTGCGGGTGTCACGAACCATCAGATGAACTATTTACTGGTTTGCATAATCCCATAAAAAGTAAATATCAAAATTAATTAGTCGAATTCCTAAATACCTGTAAATGTTCTTCCAGATTCTTCTTGACACACACGTGCAGTGGCGTCTGACCAGCTCGATTTAAACATGTGACCACAGCCCCGGCATCCAAGAGCTCCTGTATGCCATCCAAGCTTTCAATCTCCACTGCAGTGTGTAATGGAGTATCCATATTATCCAGGCTGCTGTTCTTCATCGTGTTGAAGCTTCCACCAGCTTTGAGCAGCATCTTTATTACTTCTACGAAGCTGTAAGGGAAAATAATAGTTATTTTTTTGGTGTAGGAAAGCCATGCTTAGTGTAGGAGGACCTGCTTGCTTTTTTTACTTGCAATAAACTAGTGCTTGACTGCGATTCCACCTGATGGTAAGCAGTGATGCAATCATTGATGATAAGGCGCACTAGTTTATAAAGAGCCTATTCACTCTAGCCTTGAAGACACCTAAAGTATATGCGGACGGAAAGACTGCAACCAGCAAACTATTCCAATCCCTCGATGTACGCGGTATAAATGACGAGGCAAAACGCTAAGTCCGGGCCGCAGGTGTCTCAACAACATAAGGGTGGATATTTGCCGTACCGGATGTCCGAAGGTGAAATTGTGATGGCAGAATCAAATCGTTCAATTCCTGCGCACACTCTCCAAAATGCATCCTGTAGAAAACCGCAAGGCTGGCCTGTGCTCGAGACTTTGAAGATTGGACCCAACCAAATCTGAATCACCAATCAGCCTCTTGCTATGGTACGATATCACCAAAAACGACATGAAACAATGGAAACGCTGTGTTTTACCGTATAAGTGAGGTCATAGCAAAACCAATCTTTTTTGCTCCCATTCCCAATACCCAATTCTGAAATTCATTATAATTCCCAATCCACAAAAAGCCTGTTACATAAGTGTAACTCCACTGGTGATACAGGTAACTATAGGCAGAAAAATACCATCAGGCAGAAAAAATCAGGCACACTTACTCCTTATAATATTGTTTTGTGCTTATTAAATGACTTAAGACAAATTTAAATAATAGGTCTAGTCAGAAGTTCAAATCTATAACATTCGATGATTGAGGTAAAAACGTGTTTTTGCAAATTATAGAAAACAGAAAGCAGATTTATACTTTATTGTTTTACTGGATTTAACGTTTAAAGTATAAAGAAGACAGATTCAATTATGGATTAAGTTTCGAATCGCCTCTATATAGAAAAATCCAGAAGAAAAATTTGACTTATTGCACTCGTTATATAATTCGAGTATATTGCCAAAATGGCAAGCAACTCTAATTATGTGCAATCTCCACATGACAAAAAATAGATAAGAATACTTTTCTATTCAATCATATCTTCTCCACTCGCCCTACCAGCCATTAGAAAACATAATGAAGAAATAACTAGCAAGTTGGAGCACTAATGAATCTTTTCCCAAGTAATAATATCTCAGTAATTAGAATAGACGGCGATCCTCATAGGCGATTTCACACTACGTTACCCACAGAAATGAATTGTGGAATAAATTCTAGTAAAACTGAAATATCGTTGTAATTAAGGGAATATGTACCTAATTAGGGTATGATTAAGGGATGAATTGGTTCGTTGAGCGGGTGTTAGGTTAGGGTGTGGGTGGTTTCTGATGTGTTATATTTGGGTTACCTAACAGATGTGCTGTAACTTTCCATTGACGGCCTTTTATTATTTTTGTTACTTGTACAATAAGAATAATTCACATAAACTCACTGATATATCCTACTAATGTTATAAACAGAAATATTTTTAAGAATGGATGTCATAGTCATAATCATTTATTCCAAGGAAACCATAAAAAGGTAGTTTTGAAACTTCAAAATGGAATAGTAGTTTGTCGAACACTTCGTCAATGAAGCTAGCTAACGAGATGGATAAATGCTTATTACTCTTTAACGTAAAAACTACTGAATGATTTTTTATGAAATTTGATACAGTGATAAATATATAAGCCAAGCTTCGGCACGAATGGGTCGGCTCGACCGGAGTGATACCACGTCCCAACAGAAAACCGGCATGAAACAACCACAGCGTTGTGTTTCGCCGTGTGAGTGAGGTTACCGGAGGCCCAATCCCTATCCCTCCCCTATCCCTTCCCAAACCTTAAATATACGCAACGCTTATCCCCAAAAAGCCGGCAACGCACTCGTAACTGCTTTGGCGCCGGTTGCCTACCATCAGGTTCGGCTCGTTTGCCGAACCTGATCGTGGCCAAAGTCGCTGGCTGATGCGAATTTAATCTGAAATCTTACTTGGAAAATGCAAACATTTTTCGTTTCCAACTTTCAGATTATTTTGTTAATGCATTTATAAGCCTAGACAGCTTTTAAGTTTTTTTAACGAACTATTGGCAGTTGCGCCCTCTGTTATACATATGATATAGAGACAGCGTCCAAAGTTCAGCATGGTTCTGCTATCCAGACGCGAGTAGAGCACGCCTCAAACAGCCAATAGACCACCACTTATTTGGCACAACAGAGCTGATGTTCGTCTGGGGTTGGGGGGCAAGTGCAACTAGGTACTCCGGCGACACTCCCTCTCTCCCCGTCAAGGGCGATAGAAGATTACTTTTTACCCCTCATAAAAAAAGGATTGGACTATCCAAACACAGTTCAAGTGTAGGAGAGTCATGCTTAGGCAGGAATAGGTCGACTCGACCGGAGTAATACCACGGCCTCACAGAAAACCATAGATAAAATATAGCACGCTACTCTTGTACAACTACGCCATAAGCTAGGTACCTATAGTAGATAACCAGTTTATCATGATCTCGCTATGTTTTAACTTTCCATACATTTAAAGGCCAGTTTATAATTGTATTTTTTTCAATATTGTTCACAGAAAATCGACGTGAAACGACAAAAACGTTGTGCTTTGCCGTGTGTGATTGAAGTTACCTGAAGCCCCATCCTTCATCTCTCCCCCATTCCTTCCAAATCTTCGAATTTCCAAAACCCCTCATCCCCATAACAACGAGCAACGCACTTGCCACTGCTTTGATGTGGGTTGGGTGGGCATGAGCGGCGCCGATTGCTTACCATCAGGGAATCCGTCTGCTCGTTTGCCGGCGTATAACGTAAAAGACACTTACTGTTTCTCATTGACGTCCTGTTCGTAATAATACGCGTAGCCTGCCACGTCGAGGGGAGTTCGACCTTCCAAGTCCGTGATATTAGGGTCAGCTCCAGCAGCCAGCAGAAGACGGGTGCAATGTTTCCGAGCACAGGAACTAGCCACATGAAGTGGAGTCCAACCAGGTTGGAATAGAGGCATCTGGAGAAAAAATAGGTACCTACTTTACAATTTGTTGAGGGAGAACCATGCTTCGGCAGGAATTGGTCGAGCCGACCGACCCACAGAGTGGAGTGATACCACGGCCTCACAGAAAACCGGCGTAAAACAACCACAACGTTGTTTCGCCCTTACTTATTCCCTCCACAATATCCAAATCTCCAAATACCTAATTTCCAAAAGGTCAGCAGCGCACTCGTAACTACCCTGTTGCGCGTGTCCATGGGCGGCGCTGGTTGCTTACCATCAGGTAATCCGTATGCTCGATTGCCGTCCTATCACATAAAACTTAAACGCAAAACTAACTCAATCTTCATTTGTAAGCGTTGTGCTATAATATCCGTGGCTTCATTACCGGAGGTCGTATCTGAGGCGTTGGAGGCACGTAGAGCAGCCATTCATCAAACATCTTGAAGCTAACTAGCCTACGGACGGCTGGCTACGAAATTATTTTACTGGGAAACCGTTGACTTAGTGGGTAACAGAAAGCGCGATTTTGGGAGCGATTTTATCTTTCTTATAGATGAAAAAACGCTTGTAGCTAGTAGTGCTGATGACCATGGGCAGTGCTAATTGCTAATCGTCAGGTGATTTTTTCGTAGTTTTTTTTTTTAATATAAGCTCGCATACGGACAGCCTGACCTGATTTGGCATTGGAATTTTAGATTAGTTGCCAGCCTTGTGTGAATTAGGTGTTTTTGGAATTTAGGGATGGGAAGAGAGGAAGAACTGCGCTTAGTAGCACCCTAAACTCAAAATATCTTGACTTAAATACAGAAAGAGTATTTACTATATTTTTCAATGTCTGACATTAAATAATAGTATGAAACCCAGTCCTGTTTTCTGGTCCAAAGTGTACGGAAGTACAATACGAAGAACCTTAAAAATAACAAAATGATACAATTAAGGTTTTTCAAAAATTGGCTCTTTCAGTGTGAAAACTAAATTTGATCTAATGCCCCAACTCTAACATATAAATCTCAGGGGTTAAAACATACGGGGTTGCGGGTAAGCCCTGATTCTGGGTCAATCGCTATAAGCGGTACCGCGGCCCGGCTTGGAGCAGATGAAGGAACGGGGTGGATTTTAGTCAGTAAAAGTCTAGCATTCCCTCACTCCACACCCTGGGCGAGAGAAGCCATTTGATGATTAGCCTCATCGAAGAAAAGGGGATAAAAAAGTATAACCAGATAGTTTTACCTACTCAGATACACAAAACTAAGAACAACGCTACGCATAAAATTATTGAGCACATAATTAGGTTCTCTGACCAAAATGGACGAATTTATGAAGCCATCAGAATATTATTCCTTGATGAAATTTCGGTGGAACGTGTGTTCGCAAAATGAGGTACAGGCCAAATTATACACAGAACGTTGCGTACCATGCATATTTATCGGCACGACAATCATTGTATCATTAGGGTGCGCAGGTTGCCAGGTTGCCTAAATATTTAGCTTTGTTTTCTAGGGATTTTCAGTTAAAGTATATTACGTTGTTTTAAATTACTCGTATACGTATTATGCCCATGTTTAATTAAAAAACAAAGTTATAATTTCGAAATGAATTATTACTAAATTTTTCAGTCCATTTACTTGTATCGTTTTGTCCCATTTAAACAAGTGATCCGAAATTGATTCTTCAAAAAATACCTTACTAACCTATAATCTGGACAAGTAGGTAGGCTATATTTTTATTATAACTTTCGTGAGACATTCTAAATTATTTATTACTCGTCAGCAGCGCGACGGTCGCCGAGTCGCGTGTCGCGGAATGCTGCTCATGAATATGGGCCTCTAGCATGGCTTGAAACTAGTCGAGTATCTAGTCAAATTATTACGTGAGTAAGCCGAAAACATAATAAATAATAAAGTAGGTAGGCTATTTTCAAGATGTTATTTTGTAATATGATAGGGATAGCTGATCTTTTGGAGCTTATTTTCGTTGATTTAACTGGTAAAAAACAATCGGTGCCGCCCATAGCCACACGCAATACCAGAAGACTGAAGTTACCGTGGTTTAACAGATAAGGGGTTTTAGAAATTTAGGGATTGTCGAGAGAAAGACGAATGGAAAAGCTTATGCCTCCGGTAACGTCATACACACGGCAAAACACAACGCCGTGCTGCCAATCTTTGAAAATATGTTTTAAACGAAATTAGCACTTACACTTCCTTTAATATCACGACAATTATGATCAATATTGTCTCTCCATGGTTTTGGCAACGTCATATCCACTTCTCCAAGGTCACAGCGAACGTTCGTCATTTCCTTGATGAGAGGACAAAGCTTTCTGACATCTTCTTCAGTTTCTGAAGACATGCTGTCTGCGCCGACCCTTTCTTGGATATCTGGAGGATAAAAGAAAAAAACAATATAATAGAAGAATAAAGAAGTAGGAGGATATATAATTATAATATATGATATATACAATAATTCCTTGAGTACGATCTAGTCCTTTCCTATAGTCCTTAAGACCATTTCATAATGAATAATTTATCGTTGGTTTGTTACATAAAGAAATGTGTTAAATTAGATGGGATAGTAGATTACACGGAGCAAATACAAGGTTAATTATTATCATCATCATCAACCGGAAGACGTCCGCAGCTGACAGCTTCTCTAGCCCCCCCCCCCCCTCCCCTTCCTTAGTTCTCTGCATTGAACGACAAGTCACCACTCGCATCGATTGGCGCCAACGGCTCTGACAATGTCGTCTGTCCACCTAGCAGGAGGTGTCACGCCACCGCCTTTGTGACCCATCGGCCGTCTGTTCTTGTAGCCATGGGGCATGCCCATTGCCACTTTAGCTTGCAGATTTTAAGAGCTTTTTCTGTGACTCTGGTTCTATAAAGAAGGTTATGTACCCAGTGGAATATCTTAAAATTATTTTATAAAGGAGGTTGACATATCAAAAAAATAATTCTGGCTGTACATAAAACTCCTCACAATTAGTTTTCTTTTTCTGTAGTTACTGTTGTCAAATGCCATTGGTTTTTGTAGAAGACATTTGGAGACAACTTTACGTAAGTGTAAACGAAGAGAAAATTAGATTTTACTGCAATCATGGAGATCGCTCACAACTTTATGGTAGGTATTGCTTTGTGACTCCTAATCAGTCGAGTAGAGATGAGTTGTAGTAGCCTTTAAAATTTCGGTGACTTTCCCAAATCCCCAAACCACCTGCCTATCTGTCCACAGGATTATGGCAAATCTCCTCTTAGGTAGACTTATATTTATGATAGTATTCCGGCTTACGATGAGATAATTCATTTTCAAGGTCATAGCAAATAAGACCTCGAGTACTACTAAATAGTAGTTCATAAGACGGCTTGTGCCTAACAGGATTATTAACAGTAGCTTAGCCAATCATGATAACGTTTTTGACACAGGCTATTTTGGTATGGCCACAATTATAATGGCTCAAAATAAAAATGTATGAAATGAAACTTTTGGTAAATTTCAAAATAGTTGTTACATGTACATTTAAAGAGTTCATCTTATTTCAGGGACCTATTGCTACCAACACTATGATGCGTATCAATGAAAATGGAAACGTTGTGGGAACTATCATTGTCAACTGTGAAGGTTTGTGTCTACTTGGGTACGACAGGGATCCACTTATTAATAAAAAATATCATTATGGAGTCCTGGAAAATGAAATGGCAATTTGACTGGTTGCGTGCTCAATATTATTTGACGGTTAAGTCTTATAGACGGATTAACAGTTATCTATTGATGGTCAAAAACTGATTTTAGCTTTTCTTCTGTGCTTGAAAAGACGATTTCAGAAGTTCATGCATTGACAGAACTACGTCAGTTGTACTAAGACTAATTTTGTAATTAATTATTCTAGCCTGAGTTTGTTTTATTGCAATAAGCATTGACTCTATTTAAGTGATTTTATATGGGACGGTATGGTCACTAAGCAACAAAGTCCTAAGAATAATAAATAAAATAAACCTTTCTTCAGGTTTCCCCGAGACCACTACCCTGGACAGTTTAACTGCAGCTACATACTCAAATCATTTGAGAACCTTGTCGCTTCACGCCTCGAACGCTCTCAAGGAGATTGTAAGTAGTGTGGACACTTTATTCTTTTAAGTTTAAAGTCTAAACTGTTTTTTTTCTGTCTTTGTAAATTTATAACAGAGAAGACAAGACTTCTTATATACATACTAGGCTTCCACCCCCGCGGCTTTGCTTTTAATAAGATAAGAAGTACCTAAGATAAAAATGAATTGCTGTTCATTAGTCTTGCTATGGATCGTACACAGTCCAACAAATGACTATCACGGATTGTATGCCTACCTACCTACGCCTTAGACAGAGTAACAATGATACTGAACAATTATTACGACAACCCTTTCGAATTATGCAAGTGCATCTAAAAGCTAATCGATGTATTTATCGGAATATTTCCCGTCTTCTATCATTCCTTTGTCTTTTCAGGATGTGACTGATGAGCTTGTGGTTCTGAGACTAGTCTCCAGAAAGACCGAGGCTGTGGTAGCGCCTGACGAAGAATTCCACATCATTGTCGTTATGAGGAAACATTAAAACTTCTAGAATGGTCCAGAAGATTAGATTTTAGTCGTTCTTTTCATTTTCATTGTTCTTATTCTTCTCGAAAGAGGAGTTTTCTGTTACTTTTATTTCATTGAAACATTTTGTTGATGTCGTTCATTTATTTATTAAAGCTGTTAGTATTATATGCAGTGTTTTATTGAAGATTCTCTTTCTTTTTTCCGCTTTGAGAAGATTTCTTGTTATAAGTACACGAAATAATCTGTTTATTAATAGAATATAATAAGAATCTTCTGAAATCAGGCATGAATCAATTCCTTCCACTGAATATTTTGGAACCATACCAGAAATATGAGCAAACAAGGTCAGTAAAATATAATTATAAAAAATATTATATTAAGGGCTGATTTTTCACTAGTCAGATAAATGCTCTATGAGATAGTCAGATCTATATTCTATCTATGCTTACATTATAAAGAGGTAAAATTTGTAAGTTTGTATGTAGGGGGTAATCTTTGGAACCGCAGGTCGGATTGCCAAAATTCTTTCACTGTTAGATAGCTACAATGTTCCTGTGTGCTATAGGCTATAAAACATTACGCTACGATTAAATGAAGCCGAGTAGCGAGTGAAACCGCGTGAGAGTAGCTAGTGAGAAATAAAATAGTTGCTAGCACTGTGTTATATACAAACATTCTGACTCTACAGCATCATAATTATTATTCCCGGGGTAACTTATCTAACCATTAAAAATTAGCTCTTAAATAGTTATGCAAGTAGATGCATCAATAAAATTAAATTACCTTCTGGAAAGTCCAGCAGTATAGCAACCTGCCTCGCATTTCCTGCCCATGCGGCTAAATGCAGTGGAGTTCTCCCAAGCTTGTCGATCCTCAGTTTTTCAGCTCCGAATTTTATGAGGAGGCTCAAGGCATCTCCTCCGATGAGGGCGGCTGTATGACAGGCTGAGACGAAGCCAAGGCGACATGTGGCGTTAGGACTTGCACCTACGTTTAGCAACCTGGAGAATTTGAAGTAAATTAATTAAATTGTAAACTAATGGTAGGTGATCAGCGCCACCCATGGGCCAACTTTAGGATGGTTAAGCATCTAGTATTACGGGTGGCAACAACAGAGGAATCACAGGCGCATTGCTGACCTTTAAGGCCCGCTCGTTTGTTAAAAGTTTTGTTTTACATTTAAAACTATTGCGTCTTGAATGCGCCGTGTCGTTCGCTAATTTGACTGACGAGCTGAAACTCGTTATTTGATTGGTCAACATTTCTATAATTTCGGTTATCTTCTTCAGTCTATACTACAGACTTTATAACCATGAGACTTTCTTAAAATTCATTAAAATTCAAAGTCTTAAAAGTATGAAAAAAAATTAAAGTATTAATTTAAACTCCTGGCATCATGTATTGTTTATCACTCATTAATTTATAAAAAGATCTATTATCTATTGGACAATCACAAAACCGCTCCGCTCATCGCTACCAAAGGGCCTTAAAAGCGTAGCCTTATATTTCTGGCTCAATTCTTAGTAATCAAAACGCTAGGGCTACGCTCATAAAAGAATTGCTGTGTACGAATAAACATGTTGTAAACAAAACATATTACATCACCCTTGTTATTCCCTAAAGGATTGTAGATGGGCTAGAGTGAATAGGCTCTTAATAAACTAGTGCGCCTTACCATCAACGATTGCAACACTGCTTACCCTCAGGTGGGATCGCAGTCAAGCACTAGTTTATTGCAAGTAAAAAAAACACAAAAATAGAAAAAAAAAACATCACTTATTCTTCGCAGAAGTTAAACCATTGCCCATTGAAGAAGAAGGTGAGATTATTATCAGCTAAAGACAGCGAAAAGTCTTGAATGATCGTGCTCAAAGATGTGATGTTTTTTTTTATATTGCCCCAAATTAGTTTTTTTCGTTGTCGCACCGTCTTTTTCTTTTTTTTTTAACGGAATAGGAGGCAAACAATCAAATGGATTACCTGATGGTAAGTGTCACAACAATATCGGAGGTCTTAGCCGCGTTGTTAAGAAGAGTATACTGGGCCTTTAAGAAGAGTCATTTCGGTTTGGAAATACAGTCGTTTCAAGCACAAACACAGTATTTCTAAGCCCGAAATAACTTCTAGACCATATAAGAATTGGCTCCATAGGAAAGTTATAGTGACTTATTTTATGTCATTGTGGGATCCAAGATAGTCATGTGTGTCCCTGGAATGCACACAATTCCAGTGTTTCGGTTTTAGAGGTATGAGAGAACAGGGTTTCAAGTTCCTCATCCTCCATTGAAAAGGGAGGATCCTCCGACCAGGCGAGGTGTTCGTGCCTGGCGGGCTACTGCCCAACGGTTGTTGTTGGGGTGCATGCCAGAAGACCTCCCCGTGGTGCACCCTGGGTGCGGGCGACAGTCTCCCTAACGGGATGGCGACAGGGTTGGACTGACTGTCGCCCGCAGCGAACTTCTGGCCGGGCGGAGAACCCGGTCGGGTTCTAGAGGCGATCGGCTCTATGCTGCCATAGAGTCCACGCCTCCGTGGGGGCGTTCCTCCGCACGACTCTCTGAACCTAGCAGAGAGCGGGGCGGAGAAACAAGGGCGGCGCTCGTTGTGCACTCACCCTGCCAATGAGTAGCATCGGGGCACTAGCTGCGCCCGACTGCACCCGTCGATATCGTAATCCGGGAAGAGTCAGAGAATCATGGTCATGTTTTATGACTCGGACCGGGACGAGGGTCTTGGCTTAACCGCCCGGACCGCGAGGAAGATAACCTCTATAAAAAATTCCTCCAATACTAAGTTCTGGTGCGCGGCGAGGGTATGTATGGCTGAGGAGTAGGATCAGTCGTGAGCGCACCCCCAGCTAGGGGACCGGTGGACCCCCTAGTTGGGAGACAAATGCACACTTACCCAGGGACAGGGGGCTCTCCCTGGGCGGACCTCTTATTTCCCCCATACTCGTGGGAATAACATGGAAGACTTAAACCCAACTAAAAAAAAAAACATACCACCAAAAGTGCAGGAGAGGGCAAGCCAGCTTGCAAGTGGAAGCGAGAGCCAAGATGGCACTCGGACCTGTGGGGAGACGCTGGTTCCGTCCAGCAAGTCCCGGGCAAGGGCACAGGGAGGAAAGGAGTCGGATTCGGAGTCCGACTCATCGTTGTCTGGCGTCAGCATTGCGCTGCGCCACAAAAAGGACCGGGGCGTTTTCAAACGTCCCAGGTTGGAGGACGGTCGAGAGCCGTCCTCCAACGAGCAGGAGGCCCCAGCCCCCAAAATCCCCACGGCTGCGCGGGGTAGGGGCAAGGGGAAGGGCTCCACAAGAGCGGCTGGGAGCCGCTCTGAGCCGGCAGAGCGGCTGGCAGCGGAGGGGAGCGCCCTGGGAAAGGCTGCCCCCTCGGACTCCTCGGAGATGGAGGTGTCCGGAGGTGAGGATTCTGTAGGCGGCGCTGAGAGCCTCCGCCTCCAGGTTAAGGAAGCACTCCGCATGCTGGCTGGGCAAAAAACCCAGGCTGGCAGGAACGGAGTGCTTAAGCACGCGGAGGCTGCTATAATGTCGGCGGTATCCCAGCAGGGCTCAGCAGAGCGGCAGATGACCGCTCTGCAAAAAGAGATGGCCGGAATGAGGCGCGAGCTGGCCCGATTAGCGGCTGCGAACTCTGCCCTGGAGGCGGAACTTCGTGCAGCAAAGGCGGAACTCGCCGCTGCTCGCGCGGGTCGTCCCCAACCCTCGCAGCCAGTGGAGGCCGACCTTCTTGGCCTCATGCGGCAGGAGATGGCCGCCTTCCAGCAGCGTTTCGACGCTCTGGAGGGTAGGCTCCTTCGACCCCCGCTCGCAACTGGCACTTATGCAGCCGCGGCAGCGAAGACGAAGCAACCACCTAGCCGCGGCGTCAGAGCTGACGCTCCGGTGGAGAAAAGGGCGAAAGTGCCCCCTGCGGCGAATGCACCGAGAGCCCCGCCGCTGACGAGGACGCCCATAGCTCAACCGGCACCGGCTCCTGCTGTGCCTCTGGCACCAAGTAGCCGCAAGCGAAGGGGCGCAGCAGCTGAAATTCCAGCCGTTGCAGCCCCAACCCCGCTATCAGAGCTGCGCACCGATGGCGACGAGTGGCAGGTGGCCGGGCAGGCGAGAAGGAGCGCCAAAGAGGCGAGGAAGCGCCGCAAGAAGGAGCAGCGGCAGCGGCGGCAGCAGAGACGCAGGGAGAAGCGCGCTGCGGCAATGCTCCTCACCCCTAAATCTTCGGCTGTAGTTATCACGCTACAGCCGGACGCGGCTAAGAAGGGGGTGACTTAGGGCGACGTCCTCGCCAAATTGAAGGGGACGGTTACTCCCGCGGAGTTCGGGGCCCCTAACGGGTTCGCGGTAAGGGTCACCGCGACTGGAGCCCGTCTTCTGGAGGTCCCCGGCGCGGCCAGCGGCCCATCCGCTGACGCCCTTGCCGAGAGGCTCAGGACGTGCCTTGCGGCGGATGAGGCTCGCGTGTCCAGGCCCACCAAATGCTTGGAGCTACGCATCATGGGCCTGGATGACTCCGTGACGGAGAACGAGGTGGCGGCCGCTGTCGCAAGGACGGGGGGGTGCCCTGCTGATCAGGTGAAGGCAGGCACCATCCGCCCGGACAATACGGGGCTGCGGACCGTGGTAGTGAGCTGCCCCGTCACAGCGGCCAAAAAACTGTCGGAGGGCAAAAGGCTCCTGGTGGGCTGGGTTTCGGCGCAGGTGAAGCTGCTGGAACCCCGACCTTTGAGGTGCTTCCGCTGCCTCATTGGTCACCATGTGGGTGCCAAGTGCACCTCAGAGGTGGACCGCAGCGACCGCTGCTTCCGCTGCGGTCAGCCCGGTCACAGGGCCGGCGCTTGTACCGCCCCGCCGCACTGCGTAGTATGTGCGGCGGCTGGCAAGCCGGCCGATCACCGGGCTGGGGGCAAAACCTGCTCCCCCCCCACCAAGCCCAGGAGCAAAGGTAGGCCCGTAGCCACCTCCACCGCTCCCACCGTCGCTCCCGCTGCCGCCGCAGTCGCCAACACCCCTGCGACTGCTGCTGTCGCCGCTGCCGTCAGAGAGGAGGTCGTGATGGATACCCAATAATGGCTCCATTACGCCTCCTCCAGGCGAACATCAACCACTGCGTCGCTGCTCAGGATCTCCTGCTCCAGAGCATGGCGCAGTGGTCGATCAATGTTGCTGTGGTCTCCGAGCCGTACTTCGTTCCAGCCAGGGAACACTGGGTGTCAGACCTGGACGGCTCGGTGACCATTATCTCGTCGGCCGCCGCCGGTACCCCAACCCCCGAAGGGCCTCAGCGAGGCAGGGGTTGCGTCGCGGCTCGGTTCGGAGAGATCGCCGTGGTGGGCGTGTACTTCTCTCCGAACCGAACTCTCGTCGAGTTCCACAACTCCCTCAGGGAGTTAGTCACCGTCGTCGTCGGGTTCCGTCCCCTCCCCGTGTTGGTCCTCGGGGACTTCAATGCCAAGAATTTGGCTTGGGGTTCCCGGCTCACTGATGTCCGGGGAAGGATGGTCGAAGACTGGGCTCTGGAGACAGGCCTAGTCGTGCTGAACCGGGGTTCTGTCCCCACGTGCGTACGGATGCGGGGCGAGTCAGTGGTGGACATTTCGTTTGCTAGCCCCGCTCTGTCATCGCGCGTTGTTGACTGGCGCGTCATGGAGGAGGTGGAGACGTTTTCGGACCACCGGTATATACGGTTCGACGTCTCCGCCGAGTCCGCAGACCCGCCAGTCAGACAGGCCCCGTGTGGCCCGCGTTGGGCGCTTAGGCAACTGGACCGGGAGCTTTTCCTGGAAGCCGCAGTCGTGCAGGCCTGGGTGATACCACCGGTCAGGCCAGCCGACATTAATGAGGAGGCGAGATGGCTCCAGGACGCCATGTCAAGGATGTGCGACGTGGCGATGCCCCGGATCCGACCGTGCCAACGCAAGCGCCAGGTGTATTGGTGGTCGCAGGAATTGGCAGACCTGCGCGGTGAGTGCACCGCAGCGCGACGCCGATACACCAGGCACCGCAGGCTCCGTCTCCGCCCTCTGGACGCTGAAACCAGAGAGGCGGAGCTATACGAGGAGTACAGGGCGGCGAAGGCCACCCTCAGGGTGGAGATCCGGCGGGCCAAAGATCGGGCCCGCGAGGAGATGTTGGAGACTCTGAACAGAGACCCGTGGGGACGCCCCTACCGGATGGTGCGTGATAAGCTCCGCACCTGGGCGCCCCCACTGACTCAGAGTCTCCGGCCGGAGGTCGTGGACGAAGTGGTTGGGGCGCTATTCCCCCGACCACAGATGGGTTACACGCCTCCGGCTATGCCCCCGCCCCCTGCGGTGCCCAATGCGGGCTACATCGACGACGACGACGAATCCGCTCCGGAAGTGACCGAGGTAGATTTGAGAGTGGCGGTGCGCCGGCTGAGCGGCAAGAATACCGCCCCAGGACCTGACGGGCTGCATGCCAAGGTCTGGGTCCTGGCCTCGGAGGCTCTCAGGCCTCGACTACTTGGTCTGTTCAGCGCATGTTTGGAGAGAGGCCAGTTTCCGCTGTCGTGGAAGACGGGTAAACTGGTCCTCGTGAAGAAGCCGGGGCGTCCTGCGGACTCTCCGTCCGCGTACCGGCCCATTGTGCTGCTCGACGAGGTGGGAAAGCTGTTCGAGAGGATAATCTCAGACCGCCTCGTCGGGCACCTGTCTGGAAGGGGGCCGGATTTAGCGGACGGCCAGTTCGGCTTCCGCAGAGGGCGCTCCACGGTGGACGCCATCATGCGCGTGAGGGACCTCACGACGGGGACAGCGTTGGCCGGGAGGCGAGTCGTCGTGGCGGTGTCTCTGGACATCGCCAACGCCTTTAACTCGCTGCCCTGGAGCTGCATTTTGGAGGCACTCCGGTATCACCGGGTGCCTGCCTATCTCCGTCGTGTAGTCGAGGCTTACTTGACGGACAGATGCGTCATCTACCCCGGTCACCGGGGCGTGTGGAATCGGCGAGAGGTGTCGCGCGGTGTCCCACAGGGATCGGTCCTGGGACCTCTCCTGTGGAACATCGGGTACGATTGGGTGCTACGCACCGACCTCCCGAGCGGCGTCAGCATTGTCTGCTATGCTGACGACACGCTGGTGCTGGCGAACGGGAGGTCGCATCAGGCGGCGGCCGACCTGATGTCACAAGCGGTTGCGACAGTCGTTGCAAGGATCCGGCAGTTGGGACTCGAGGTGGCGCTCCACAAGTCCGAGGCCATGTGCTTCTATGGCCGTCGGAGCGCGCCACCTCCAGGTGGGTCCCAAGTAACGGCAGGAGGAGTTACCATCGGCGTCGAGTCGGCGATGAAGTACCTTGGTCTCGTCCTCGACAGCCGATGGAACTTCACGGAGCATTTTCGTCGTTTGGCCCCTAAGTTGGAACGGTCTGGGGCCGCGCTCAAGCGGCTCCTTCCCAACCTCGGGGGGCCAAACGCCTCCTGCCGGAGGTTGTATATGGGGATTGTGCGATCCATGGCCCTCTACGGTGCCCCTGTGTGGGCGCCGGACTTGAAGCGGCGGCCGGCTCGTACGCTGGTCGCGTCCCAGAGGGTCATGGCTATACGAGTAATCCGCGGGTATCGCACGATCTCCGGGGAGGCGGCGAACCTCCTTGCCGGATCACCGCCGTGGGATCTAGAAGCGAAGGCGCTCGCGCGCGTCTACAGTTTGCGCGCAGACGCGCGTCGCCGGGGCGAAGATCCTCTGCCGCGCCAAATAAATGCGTGGCGGAATGAGCTCCGGCGAGATCTCATGGCAGAGTGGAGACAACGACTGTCGCAACCGAGGGCCGGGCACGCTACCATAGCAGCGGTAAGACCCCTCTTTGAGGAGTGGCTTGAGAGACGCCACGGCGTCCTCTCCTTCCGTCTGACGCAGGTGCTTACCGGGCACGGCAGCTTCGGTAGGTTCCTGTTTCGGATTCAGCGGGAGGAAACGCCCGAGTGTCGTCATTGTGAGGACCACCTAGAGGATACGGTGGAGCATACGGTAGCGGTATGCCCTGCCTGGGCTGAGCACCGCCGTATCCTCAGGGAAGTGATCGGCGGCGGCGACCTCTCGCGCCCGGCCTTAGTCGAGGCCATGGTGCGGAGTGAGAGGAACTGGGACGCCGTCTCCTCCTTTTGTGAAGCGGTCATGCTCGCAAAGAGAGAGGCGGCCCGCGTGAGGGAGCAATCCTCCTCCTCACGCCCCAGCAGCCGCAACTGGCGACACTACGGGCGTCGGGGATCGAGGGACGATCTCCGGCCACCGTAAGTACGGGCCTGCGGTCGGCGAGTAAGGGCAGCTCGCCGCCCGACCAGAACCAGGCCCGAGCGTACGGCGCGTAGCGTTCCGCGCGCGCCTCAAAGAGCCAATAGACCACCACAGACGGGGCCCTAAAGGGCTGATGTTCAGCCGGGGCTGCGGGGTAAGCGCAATAAGGTACCGCGACCTCGGCACAGAGCAGGAGAAGGAACAGGGGGGTTTTTAGTCAGTAAGAGTCTGACACTCCCTCCTGCCCGGCCCTGGGCGGGAGAAGTCATTTGATGATTTTCCCCTCACAAAAAAAAAAAAAAAAAAAAAAAAACGGTTGTTGTTAAGATTTTTGTATAGGTTCTAATTGCGTTGAGAACCCTTATAGCGCGATGTAGAATCTTGCACGTGATTGGCGCTGTTGTTATTGTTGTGCGATAGATGTCGCTAAACGGTATTGTAGATATTGGCTTACAGGAATCGTAATGGCTGGTAAGTTGCGGAGTGCTTTTCCCAATAAAATACATATATTCTCGATACAAAATAACAATGTTACAATATTATTTATTGGGATTATCGAGAGATACCTGAATATAAACTAGACGCAAACAGAATTATTTTAGCACTCCCCAATGTTTGTTCAGGCGCTAGTAATGAGCACGATATTAATTATTAATTTACATAATTATTGTGTAGGCGCTTAGTGCCTCGATAATTATAGATTAATGTATCTCCTAGATAACTATCTGCGTTAATTAATATCAGACTAACCTACAGGGATTTTTATACGATTGGGCAAAGGAGGAGCTCTTTATCCTGAGGGTAAGCAATCGTCATCAATGGTCCCAACGATGGAATTTGGGGAAAGGGAAACGCGTGGATTGGCTCTCTGGAAACCACATTTGTATGACGAAACATTATGTATATGCATAATATATTGTGTATCTAACTATATATGTATAATAACTATCGTTTCACTTCATTGTCGTTCTTATAAGTTATGGCGGCACCGGCACAGACAATCTCTGGTATATCTACATAAGTTTTTTTTATGGTATAAGTTGACAAACGAGCCGCCTATGGACACCCGCAGCAGCAAAGGAGTTACGAGTGCGTTGCCGGCCTTTTGGGGATAGGAGTTGTAGATATAAGGATCGGGAAGGGATAGGGGAAGGGGAGGGATTGGACCTCCGGTAACCTCACTCACACAGCGAAACACAACACTGTGGGTTGTTTCACGCCGGTATTCTGTGAGGCCGTGGTACACACTCCGGTCGAGCCAACCCATTCGTGCCGAAGCTTGGCTCACCCACACTTCTGTCTTACATAATCAGCAAAATGTTGTCTATTCACATTTTAAAAGAAATGTTTTCTCTCTTGACAAGTTTTTTTAAGCCATAAAATTATCCTTACCTCTCAACTTCCTCCAGATCATGAGTCTCAATAGCCTCCAGCAGCTCTGTGTTCAGCCTCTGCAGTCTCCTGTCTCCTCTGCGCCAGGGTTTCGGCACGATGGCACCGGACTCCATCATCGGAGTACTGTTTACTGTGGAGCCTACTGATGAAGGCGTGAGATCTGGCATTATCAGCTTGGGTAAAGGTGGGCGGCCATCACTGGAACAAAAAGAGGTTTGTTTATTTTTAATTAAAAAAAATGGTAAATAATAAATCAAAAGTTGTGTGAACCAAATCTAGGTATGTATACTGTGCTAAAGTAATAAAAACAATACCTAGCCCCACACTAGGACTCTAGAGATGGTCTCCGGCCACTGTAAGCTCGGTGAGTAAGGGTATCTTGTCACCCAACCAGAACCAGACCCGAGCATACGGCGCGTAGCGTTCCGCGCGCGCCTCAAAGAGCCAATAGACCACCACAGACGGGGCCCTAGAGGACTGATTTTCAGCCGTGGTTTGCGGTGGGTTGTTAGTCAGTTAAAGTCTGACACTCTCGCCTCGCCCTGGGCGTGTTTTGCCTTGACAAAAAAGCCTCACACTAGGACTTTCTCTTCTGTCATGGCTACATTTATAATACAGTTAAAAAAACTCACATCACACCTAGACAGGGAACGAAAATGTATGACACAAATTGTGTGAGAAACACGCGTCAAATGTCTACTAAAGGTGCACTCAAGTTTTCTAAAATTTTTAAAACTATGTTCAATGTAAGACAAAAGATTGGATCTGGAAATGTTGGACCTTTCTTTATGATACCACTTTAAAATAGGCTATAAGTTTATAGAACAGAAATATGTATATCTCTTTAGAATAATATTTTAAGTAGGTAGTTAAGTAACTTACAATCCAATTAAAATTTTGGTGTTTCCAAAAACATTTACGTGATATATTGTATTAACCAGAAATAATTTATTTCTCAATTAGTCAGACTATGCTTCCGCGGTATGTTCACGATCGACTGATCATTCTATCATAACGTTCAAACGGTAGATTTGCTTTATCATTAAACATGAATTACTGAGTGATAAAAGCAATTAAAGCCAGAAAACCTCTTAACGATATTGACTAAGTTGCTATTTTAACTTAGATTAGATAGTTAAAGAAAGCCATAGAATTGCTGAATTGGGTTGCGGGTTGAGCGCAATAATGTTCGCAATATGTATTACGGTCCCCGCCTGGAGCGGCAGAAATAACGGGCTAGTTTTTAGTCAGTAAGAGTCTGACATTTCCTCTTACCCCAGCCAGGGTGACAAAAGTCATTTCACAACCCCACAACAGATGGATCAACTACTTCGTCTCGACGAACAAAGAAAATAGAAATTGGCATATGTACTATACGTATTCTTGACGTCATTCTTTTTCAATCTCTTTCTTTGGTCAAAGTCAAAGTCTAAGATCTTTATTGTGAGACAGCGGTTAAAGAAGTTATTCTACAGGTTGTTGTGCTCTTGCACTGCTCCACCATTTTAGGCATACAATAATAATTGTGACAAAATTATATTAGTTACAGTTAGTACATAAATTTAAAAAAGTATTTAATATATTACTTTTATTTTGCATCAAAACATAAAATGGCAGTTTGGATCTAGCTGTTCGTGCACCTGTCGGACAAAAAATCATGTAATGTGTAATATGGTCTACTCACCAGGAAGTCATGTAATTCCTTTATAAAACTAGCCACTCTTTTAATTTCCCTAATACGTTTAAGAAGCTTATTATAAATTCGTGATCACTTATCTGTGTGAAAAGCAATCTTTAAACAAACATACAATTTATTTTTTGGTATATGTTTGTAAAAATATTTATTTTGCATAAATATTTTTACAAACGCTATCCCTTCATTTCCTTGTATATCGCGTGTTTGTTTACAAATGTATAATTTCACATACCTACCTACCTTATCTACACAAAAAAGAAATGGATTACACAAAGAGAGCCAAGTAGAAGGGCACTCGCACAGCAACCGGTCCAACTGGCAGTAAAATAAAATCTTTCAATATCTATATAATGAAATGTCTTAAGTGTGTGCAGTTGTTACTCACAGTCCCAAATGCCTAGGCCTGGCCATTCTGATGCGAAAATCGCCAGTTTCCGCGGGGTTAAGCAGCGGATGGGCAGCCTCATCATGGTCTGGACCTCGCTCTATATCTGTAAATAAAGGTTAAAGTTAAAACCATTTCATTAAAAGTCAAAAAAAGTCAAAAATCATTTATTCCAATTAGACCCTTACAGGCACTTTTGAACGTCAAACAAAGTTTTGAAGATAGTTCTTAGTGAAGCTATTTGGTCACATTCTACATTCTAGCACCACTGAGAACAATCTATGTAGATGTAGCCTATTTATCATAACGACATATTTATTTTTATACAGACATACGAAATCCAAACTCAAACCAATAAATGCTATATGCCTTAAACCCTTGCCAATACACCATTGCAGCTGGGGTAGATATTTTTGACCAACACTTAATAAAACTGGGAAATATGTTGTTTTTTTTTTAATCTTTTTAATAGCCTCTCACATCATGGCATATAGCAAAATAATAAATTAGAATTAAGGTAATCATTTATATCAATAACATTATATATTGTCCTGTTATATGTTAACTTCCATTCTCCTTTGGAAGACTTACGAGGGGCCGAAGCCAACTCGCAGAAGTCAAATTTTATTTTTGTGGAATGGGACATCAGCCGGCAATGCTCTCTTTGTGCGCTATGAAAGTAAACCTAAGGAAGACCCAGTAAATGCAGAACTATTGTGCAATATGGTTATTATATCGCTATGGGTGTGGGTTCTATGGACTAGTAGATATGATCATCCATACATCCTTCCCCCGAGTCTCCTTCTCTTTCGAATCTCCACTCAAGCCAGCCAATTAAGGCAAAAATGAGATAACAGGGCTTGTTCTTCATCAGTGTTCACTCCAGTTAGTCACTCTAAGACTAACAGGAGATGAGGAACAAGACTCCTCCAGGGAGTCAGGTTCGTGGAGTCGCCACAGACACACGCTCGCTCGCGTATCATTATTGTTTTGTGAATGCTTGTAAGAAGTTGGAATTGGATTTTGAATGTAATTTATTCCTTAAAAAATTCAGAAACAATACCGATGTTAAGAAAGTTTAGTTTTTATTATAAATTTGTTTCCTGGTAAAACATATGCTGATAGAAAAGAAAATACTATGAAACCTAAAACCAATGTTAATTTTAATTTATAGAATCAGGCGTTACTTTGCGGAAATCCATGTCATTAAATGTTAGGGAAAATATTTAGTTTTAATTCCGTGACAAAAATTCAGGCTTGTAAGGGTAACATGCATATGCACACATACACAAAACGGAAAAACATGCCACGCAATCAAACCTATACTCGACACGTGTTTCGCCCATCCTCAGGACATGTTGACTCGACGAGCGCTCGTCGAGTCGCAGTATGTGTGCATATGCATGTTACCCTTGCTGCATGTGCATATGCATGATTGCATAGGAGTGGGATTGCATCCTGCAACAAGCCTGGATTTTTGTCGCGGAATTAAAACGAAAAATTTTCCCTAACATTCAATGTTAATTTTATCAAAATTTCCGCCTCAAAGGTATCTCCACACGTCTGATCTATAAATTACGCCCATATACCCCTGCCTACCTCACTATGAGTTATAGCGTTATACTTGCCTTCAGAGAATAATGAAGCTATTCTTTTACAACTTTTGCAGTCAATTTTCCAATCCATTACGTCGGGCATTTTGAGTTTTCACCGTTCTTGCGGGAATATACCGGGCAATGTACAACGAATTTTGGGTTCTTAAGCCTTGGTAGGTATTAATATTCATGTATGTTTTTACATATTTATGTTATGGTAGGTTCAGAGTAAAATTGATATCTTTAGTAGAATCTTTACTTAGATTATGATACTGTGGTAGGTTTGCTAGTCTATTGTTACAATAAAAAAAGAAATAAATAAATAATGTTAGCAGCAAGTCGAACCCGCGAGATGCGACATTCACCGTTTGTCAATGGTCTCTAAATAATCTTATAAAGCAAATATAGCTCGGAAAGAGTTCCACTGATACTTGGCAATTATGTTGTCCCTTTTTAAATTAACTTTGGTTGAGTACCTAATTACCTAATCACTATATCACATTTTCTTTTTATGTAATAGGTCGGCAAACGGGCAGGCGGATTACCTGATGGTAAGCAATCAGCGCCGCCCATGGACACCCGCAACGGAGGAGTTACGAGTGCGTTGCCGACCTTTTAGGGATTAGGGATTTGGAGATTTGGGGATTGAGGAGGGATTGGGGGAGGGGAAGGATTGGGCCTCCGGTAACCTCACTCACACGGCGAAACACAACGCTGTGGTTGTTTCACGCCGGTTTTCTGTGAGGCCGTGGTATCACACCAGTCGAGCCGACCCGTTCGTGCGGAAGCATGGCTCTCCCACACTTATATATATAATTTATAGATTAAGTCCCCTCAAAAAAGAACTGCCATGTGATCAGGTATACTACAACCTTTTACTCATCCGACTCACGTCTGCTTACCTTTTTACAAATAATGAAAACAAACATAAATTATGATGTTAATCTTTATGTATAAGTATAAAAATATCGTGTCACGTGTTTGTCCGCGATGGACTCCTAAACTACTAGACCGATTTTAAATTTGATTTGCATTCCGTGTGCATTTTGATCCAACTTGAAAGATATTTTTGTGAGGGAAAATCATCAAATGAATTCTCCCGCCCACAGTGTCAGACTCTTACTGACTAAAAACCCCCTGTTCCTACTCCTGCTCTAGGCCGAGGTCGCGGTGCCTCATTACTCTTACCCCGCAACCCCGGCTGAACATCAGTCCAATGCGGCCCTGTCTGTGGTGGTCTATTGGGTCTTCGAGGCGCGCGCGGAACGCTACGCGCCGTACGCTCGGGTCTGGTTCTGGTCAGGCGGCGAGTTACCCTTACTCCCCGTCCGCAGACCCGCGAAGATAGGATAGCTTACATCTCAATTTATAGTCACAATATTTTTACCTTAGCCACAGCAACGCGTGGCTGGGTCTGCTAGTAAAATATATATGAAGATTATAGAAATATTCCTCATATGCATGCACATTTATTTTTGTAAGGATACACTATCTTATCTACCTACAATAAATATAAGACTGTAATGACTCACGCGAAAGTCTACCGACCTAATTTGACTCGAGATAATTCTGTTTATTTAGACTTGTGTAATATAATACATACATAACTAAATATCTAACAGGATGCTGTAGGTATAGTTGTACTTATTTATTTATTACTAGCTACTCTATGTAGCGTGATGTTTTATAGCCTATAGCACTCAGGAATATTGTAGCTATCTATCAGTGAAAGAATTTTGGAAATCCGACCAGCTGTTCCAAATATTACCCCCTACATACAAACTTACTAACCTCTTTATAAGGTAGGCTCACAGCTTATGTATAAAGTAGTTAGAAATATTTGTTTTAGGTAGTAGGTCTTATACATTAGCAAGTTACGAGCTAACCAACATTCTTAAAGTTTTGCGTTTGTACAGACAAAATCTATAAAAATTATAACTAGAACTAATCAAATTAACATAGGACAACAGTACTTATCATAGATGAATATGTATAAACCTAAATAAAATATTAAAAAAGAATGTTAAGGGCCATATAAATATATATATAATGTCGTGGTGGCCCGGAGTTTAAGGCGCCCGCTTCTCATACATGAGGGTGCGGGTTCAGAACCTGGCAAGTGCCAATGTGACTTTTTCAGAGTTTATGTACTTTCTATAATTATTTAGACACTATTAACATAAGGCGACGGAAAACATCGTAAGGTAAAACCTGGACTTATTATTTCTAATTACAACTTTCAAATCGCCAATCCGCCTTGAGCAAGCGTGGTGTTTAATGCTCAAACTTTCTCCGTGTTAGAAGAGGCCTTTGCTCAGCAGTGGGCAAATTATAGGCTGATGATGATCATGATGATGATGGTTATAAAACAAATAACATGAGTGACATCCATCTCAATAGTAGAGTGCGAGAGGAATGATACTAACAGAAAAAATCCCAAAGACATAAGTACCATGTACAGACAAACTGTACAGGTTTAAAATTGTTTTATATACATAATTACTGTCGCGGCGCGCGTCAGCATTTTTGTACGTCTATTTAAGTTGTATCATTAGCTTTTTATATCACTGCACTTTATCATTTTGTATCAATACATTCTCGTAACAGAAGTTTGTGTTATATTATCATTTTTACACGATCTTTCTGTCTATATCAACGAGAAGCAGTCAACCTATCAACTATCATCCAAGTGTAGGCGCTTACAACCCCTACATACCATGATCAAAACCTCTCTGACAAGAGTGTTCGATTAAAACGAAAGATATTAAACCATCATCGTATATGTCCTTCAGTTATAGGTGGGGAAAAACTAATAATTTAAGGACAAGCATACCCAGAGAACAAAGTTTTTTAGAGCAAAGGGTGAGAGTCTTCAAAAGAATTTTCCTGCCCTAGGCGAAGCGAACAGGGAGTGTCAGACTCTTACTGACTAAAACCACCAGGTTTCTTATCCTGTCCCGAGCCAGGCCGCGGTGACATAGCGCTTAGCCAGTTAATATTGATGGAGTATGGAGCTCCTCTACATAAGATAAATTATGCAATTTCTTACTATGAATGTACCCTTTTTGATACATATGGAAAATAAATAGATCATAAAGTTAAAGCAGTAAGCCACACATAAACATATATATAATGAGCCAATCACTTTTGAAACGTCAAAAAATACGCGTCGCATTGAGAACCTCAAAATCCTCCTTTTTTTGAAGTCGGTTAAAAATTGAACTGTCGGTTCGTATGTCTATCAGTCACGATTACCCAATTACAAAAGAGAATAATCCCAATCCAAACTAATCCAAACTTTAATCTTATAAATGCGAAAATAATTCTGATATACATATATTGGAACTCGAGAAAGGACATAGGATAGTTTTTAAACCAAAAATCCGCAGGAAGTCACTATTCCACGCGAACAAAGTCGGGGGCAAATGCTAGTAATTTAAATAAAACTCGGTAATGTTTGGTTACCCAGTAAAATGCATACAAATACTACTAAACTTTAAACACCCAATAT